CTGAAGATGATTTGCCGAAAAGTATACTTTGCCTAAAAAAATTAACTTTTCAAGTTAAAAAATGGGAATATTTAACGATCTTAGGATATCATGATATAGCTCAGCTACTGTATGCGGGTTGGAAAAAAAATTATATATGGAAGATAAGGCGATCTCGGGAACCATTGTTTTATCGTCCTGAAGTTTCAAAAGCGTACAGGCTTCCGGCATCAGAGGTGGTAATTGTACCGCGTTCCACAGTATTTAAAGGTGTTGGCAGTCAGAGTCAATAGGTTTTAACCAATAAACAGGAGAGGGGGAGGAGGGGGTTAGACGGGATGTTCAATCATCGTGCCCTGTGAAGCGTAATAACCTCAGCCGCCATTAGCCAAAGAGTGCGAGAACATCTTCCGGCATGGATAGGAATATCCAAGTAAAGAGCACAAACAGTTCCATTATAGCGCTCATTGTAGACCCCGGTCATCGCGTGAAGGCCATGAAGGTTTTCAGGGGGATCCACAACGTACCCCCAAGCTATTTAAATATGTTTTTGGACAATCACTATTATCGTTACGCAAAGCGGTCCCATTTACACCCAAAAGAATTTCATAAAGGCGCCTCATCTACCGTGATTGAACGTCGCCACTTCCACTGCACGCAGTGTTTTATCTATTCCTGTGGCCATTTCCCCCTAACACTGAGCAGACTGCTGATCCTAATTTTTCCCCCCGGGATTAATAGCACATGATTTTCATCATTTTCAATTGGCATATATTTTATAGCTAATTACGCTGTAAATGTACAGGCCTGAGGATAAGTTATTTGAAGCAAATCTGTCTTCGATAATTTTGCCTTCAAACTTTTTCGTTGGGATTCTCACAATTCAAAAACAACAGTGTTTTTCTGAAGTCAGGCCGCCTTATTTGCTCAATGTCCCATTTTTAAATCATCCAAGCTTAAGCATTCCTAGCTTGTTCTGACGCCTTTTCATCATCCGCTTTTTCCACTGGTACTTTGAGGATAAATTAGGACATGGCATTTATTTCTAAAACGGTGTTTCCTGAGCTATTTGACTTTATCTAGAAAAATATAACATTTATTGTGCATAAGAAATCAAATACCTGCGCCTGAATTGCTTCAAAACACACTGTGGACTACCAAAAATGCCCAGCGTTATTAGAAGCAGGAGAGATGAGTAGCAGTAAATTCACTTCTAAATATCGCAACATCATTTGCTAGGGCGTACAGCAGACCCTATCAGGATTACACACTGAAATTACTAAAATAAAGCTGATTCCATATTAAATCACCCCCAGCATCTGCACGTTAAACATACAACGTAAATCCACAATTAATAAGTAGCTCATTTTCACAATTAATTAGACCAGGTAAGCGGATAAATTTCATGGAAGCTATCATTTAAGTTCATTTATTAGACCCAACTACTATTAACTGAGAAGTAAGTGCAATTGAGTATTTGAATACATCCATTAGGATGATGCGGCTGGTTCAATCTTTGCAACTAGAGCAGACCGCGTGAGGTTTAGCTGATGGTTTCTTTTCCCGGACCGTATTCAATTATGGTCAAATAGAGCGGTAGATAAACTCGTAGCAGTTGTTATTTCATTCTGCAATTAATTTGTTTGTCAATCTAGGTCGCGGAGAACATAAGTATTTTAAAGATTTACCAGCAGTTTGCATGTCTGCGACCGTTACCAGGGCAGACAAGAAGGAAGACTGTCCGAGGACGTGAATCAAATATGTTTACGTCGGTGGTCTTGCTATTTGTAGCCGATTTTTCATGTGCATTTGACCCGTTTGTCTGTAGCTGAAATCGAACATTTTTAATCTTTGCAGCCTCAATTTCTTGATCAAATTGTTAAGCATGTGATTGAGGCAGCCAATACCCCTCTCTACCAATAAAACCTCTCCCTATCTGCCACACTTCCTATATTATGACCACAAAGAGAGCCGGTTTACGATCAAGGGTGAATTTCGAGAATTGTTCAGTACTGTGATTTTTCGGCAAAGTGTTTTTACATATTTTCGACTATTTTGATATTACCGCAGCCTCTGTAAGAAACAGTCACCAAACCAACGTTTCATCGTTTTCGACATAGTTGAGAATCATATTGTAGGTTCTTTAAGATTATTTTTTGATACGATTATTGCATAGGCTGACAGTTCATAGGTTATTCCTGTATTTACATGTGTTAAAGTAGATTTCCATCCATAACAACGATCGAATTTTCATTTGATAAGTCTTCGTCTAAATGTGTGTACCTTTTTGAGTTTACTGCAAAAGCAGAAGAGTAAACTAGAACAACAGCAAGAACTAACTCAATGATTCAGTTCTTTTAAGAAAAAACACAACAGCTAGTGGAACCGAGGAAATGCAAAATGTTACAATTTAATCATTTATACGCATTTTTTTCTTAAGCTGTCTGCAAACAGAATTTTGTAAAGTCACACAGGCTCATGCAGTTTTTCTTTGGTTTGTGGGATCATTCCCCTTACGAAATTTCCAATAGGCTTTGTCATAATTTCATTAGGCATTTTCCTTCTTCGTGGTTAAAGGAATAGGTTTTCGTTTTCTTAAAACGTATTTTTCTGTTAGTAAACCGTTATGATATTTGCTCAGGTGCGATTGAAATAATTTTGAAAATGTTGATAGAAATTATCGAAATGTTGGTAAAGTACCGCATGACTAACCATGAATACCTTTCGGCAATCGAATATGCACTACCTCAAGTTGCTTTCACCGTATCGCATTTGTGAAACTATATTTATATCTACATATAACTTCACCACAAAATCCATCAACCAATGAATTAACTTCAATATAGCAAATGTTTATACGCATAAACAAGCTTACTCGACCTGCCCCATATATAGAGGCGGAATCTTATCCAGATATCAAGTCTATGTCTGTAACTAGTTGACGAAAAATGTTGCATGTCGACCAATGTGCAAGTTATAAAACAAAAACCGCAACTTAGATTTGTTTATTTTAAATGGCCTTCTGAATTCATCACGTTTAAAAGTTCGTCGTTAGAGCGCGGAGATGATAGGCTACACACCCCAAGAGTGCGTGTAGTTATAATGATTAGTATATGCCATCCCATTCAAATTCTGCCGTCCGTCTGCCCCAAAATGCTTGCAATATGACCGCAGCCGAGGTCATGTATTGGCGCTAACGACGTAAAAACGACAGCCATCCAACAAAATCACCCGTTTTGCCAACCAATCAGCGTCAGACAATGACCTATTTTTCCTGACGTGGTCGTTGCTGACTTAGTCTGTCTTTTTTGGCGCGCATGCCGGTTGTACAGCCCGCGCTTGCCCGAATACTGCACCCACCTCCAGGATGATTATGCGATTTTAAAGGAAAACCGTTTTATATTTGGAAATAAAGTCACAATCGCACTTCTGCTCCACGGAAATCTCACTGCTAACTATAAGGAAGAGCGCTTACAAGACGGCGGTAAAATACAGCAGCCAAGGAAGCTATGAAGCGTCAAAACGTACGCACATTAGCTCTCATCGTGTGCACCTTCACTTACCTTCTTCTGGGGGCGGCCATCTTCGATGCCCTGGAGTCGGAAATGGAGGGTCACGAGAGGCAACGGCTGCAAGAGCAGGAGCTAGTCTGGCGCAACAAGTACAACATAACCACTGAGGATTTTGAGAAGATCACTCAGCTCGGAATACAATTAAAGCCCTACAAAGCTGGAACTCAGTGGAAATTCGCCGGTGCCTTCTACTTTGCCACGACTGTCATTACGACTATTGGTATGTCCCTAGCCGTTACCGGATTACTTTTAATCCACGCTTTTTGCACTTTGACATAAATTTCAGCTTGTTTGTGTGGAAGAACCTCCATTTAGCGAGCCTTTTTGCCAAACCTGGAGTCATTACCTACACACCTGTCGAAAAGACGGTAGCTTAGCCCATGAAAAGCGATTGTTCCTATTAGATCGGTAAGCACGCCATTTACGCTCGTCGATGGCTTAAACATGTGAAAAACAGCACGGAATCTATTATCAATTATAATGTTAATAATTGGCGCTTACTTAAAAATATATACATCCAAAAATTTGTCAGGCCACTTCCAATGTTCACCTGACTTCATTCATTGAACATGGTCGAAACAGGTGGCACAAAACGACATGAGAGTGTAAGTCGACTTGAGAAATTAAGGGCAGATGGATCCACCTAAAGTGTTCAATAACTGTAAAACCTCGTTAGACAATTTAAAGTACTCGTATGTTAGTAAGTCACCATATATATACTGTTATACAAGAAGTTGGAAGAGCCATTTGCGAGCATACGTGAGCTTTTGATAAATTCTCATCGTGCCTTTGCATGAATGTATCAACGAGGTACAAGTTAAACAAGCGGGCATGATTTTTCATTGTATCGTGGAAGTCAGACGTGGGAAAAGGAGATGAGAGGGCTTGGGGGTGGAATGTCTGAAACGCCAGATAAGTTAGTGAAACCAAAAGCCCTCTTCCATCGGTGGAGAACACGTGCGCACATGTCAATAACCGCTCTCAAGGGAAGGAACTAAAAGTACTTTTTGTGCTGATTCTGGCAGGAAAAGGGAGTTACTGAAAAACCCCCGAGTGCTCTTACGAACTGCTTTTCTTCTCTAAATTTATCTACTTGAAAAACATGGACTACTGGACTTTGCTATATGCTTAACAGATTAACTAGCCGTTGGATAAAGTGGCATGAGGAGGCTGAAAAATAAAACCTCAGAATAAATGTTAAATAAGCACTAAACTGCTTGAATTTTAAGTAAACATGTATTCGCTTGCTCGCATTATTATTATTTGCGAAATTTAAGAGCAGTGTCAAACGGACAATAAAAAAGTAGTTGATATCCGAAAAATGGCAGGAGAAAAATGCAAAGTAGATAAAAAGCCTACTGACGGGTATGAAGTATTAAATAACTTTTGTTCTTATGGCAGCAGGTGCTCTTTTATATCGAAATCAGCGGTTATAACACCTAGAATGCAAAATGTGAGTTCTAGGAAGTAAGTAAGAAGAAGCCGCCATTATCACTGTGACAGGAACTGTATTCACCTGACGTTGTGGATTCCGACGCGGATCTATAATCAGCGAGAATAGCAGAAACGGAATTCATAGGCAGGCAGTTGCAATATCTATATGCTACCGTCACAATGCTACTGCATACCTATGAAAATTAACTACCATATACTCTTGCGAGGCTAGCTTCCCTCTTTTGCGTTAATTTCTCAATGGCCAGCGTGCGGTTTGTGACCTGCTGGACTTTCAGTACCCGTGGTAGGCTTGGACGTGATGATTGCTTGGTCATCTGTCTTCCTGGCGCTGGAAGATGCGTTCGCCTGATCGCTTCTGATATCGTGAAGCCCTTTAACCTATCATCAAATGCAGTTTGGGCAGGTTATTGCACTCGTTTATAGTTTGGGAGCGAATAGGATTTTTTGTCCTAGTGCTCGTATCTGCTTTTTTTCGGTTGTGACATTAACTGCGACATATCAGCATACCACTCTGTGGTATTGATTTTAACATATGCATGAAAATGCAATGCCTCTGATCTGCTTTGATGGTCTTTAAAAGCAAGTGCTTGTTGGACAGTGGGCTGGATTTTTGTCCTATCTGCACTCAATGATAGGAAAGGCAGGCGTTTCTGTTTAACAGATTTTTCGATTAAATCGGTTGCATTTTGCAATCAATTTTCCTATTTTTCTGAATATTAGCAATATATGACGCTAATTTCGAAACAATTTTGTACTGCAAATTCGTGTTTCGTTTTTGACGTCTTTGTAAATGCACTGAGAAAATAATAAAACGGTTAATGCAAGACCCTGAAGTATAAAAAGTTTGAATATCCAACAGTTGAACACTAACTGAACCGAGATGCACTTGGAAACGATTGTGTTTACGCCCCATCTCCAAATGTGTCATAGTGAACACCTAACTATATTACAAAACGTATGTTCAGTTCAGTTCGATATTAGGGAAATATAGGTAAATACCTTTGAACTCCCTCTTTGTACATAGCTAAAATAAAGTTTAAAAGAAAGACAGAAAGGCGTTCTGAAGTATAAATAAGGGGGATAACTCGTACTTGCGCCATATTGATTTTGCAAATAGTACACATCAGTTGCGTAATGCTGCAGGTCAACCGTTATTAACCGTTATTTTTGCGCAATAAATAAAAAAATATTTGTTAAATGTTTCAGGGGTTGTGTAGGTTCCTTTGTGCCTTGATAACGTTTAACAAATATATAATTAAAATCCTATTCAGTATCTTCAAAATGTATTCTATCAGACAATTCGAAGATGCTGAGCTCTTTATTGATAAAACAGTAGATAGAATATCATAAAGGTTAGTTCAAAATGAGGCGGCGTAGATGTTAGCACCATACGCTCTCAAAAAGTAAATGCTCTGACCAAATTTAGTCTTACTTAGTTCCCACTGAAAGTTCGATTATATGAATAAGGCAAATCAAACTTATTTTTACGCCCTTCTACTCGGGCCTGGGCCACATTTGCATACCATTTTGGTTTTTTTTGGGAAATATGTCACTCGTATATGCATTCATGGTTTCGCATTCATGGAGAGGCCTATGGTCAATCGAACATGGGCGTGCCTGTGAAGGGGACAGTTGTTTTTTGTGTTCACTGTTCACGGACATATTGAATGCGTCAATATGCTAAACGCTGTGGCTGGTCTTTTTGTTGAGGATAATGGGGTTTTAGCAGGTACAAAGATATATCTTTAATGATCTGGTCACTGTGGCCGGGCATGCCGTCAACCGAAAACTAAGACACACAGTGTAGCCTCTGACGTTACAATTAACACCATGTTGATTGCAAACGTCACTTCTTCAAACGACACAAAAATGCTGTCCATAAATCAGATCCTCTTACCGAGAGATCCGCTCGGGAATGCGATCATCGTTACGAGGAGTTAACATATGCCATGTATTTTTGCTATTATATATTCAGGCACAATGTATCCACATGAGATTTGATTAACAGCAAATGCAAGCAAAAGTGGTAGGGTGATTTATTCATGATAGAAACGCAAACAGAAAGCAATTCTTAGCTTAGATGTCGCCAGAGTAACAACAAGGAACAATATTGCCCATCCGACTTACTTTCAGGTTTCGGCAAGTTTATAGATTCCAAGCAAACAAATTCGTTTAAAATGCAGGAACCAATGGTGATTAGAGACAGACACTGCACCAGTCAACATAAATTGGATATAATCATGTACCCTTTACATAGGAGACCTATTATCTTTAAATTATGATTTCCACACACTTTGATTTAGGAAAAGCAGCAATTAATTTTGGGGAGTCGACTAATTTCTTTAAATATTTCTGCACAATTACTTGCTTTTCAACGGCTATTTTCACATTAGAATACACATGTTAGCTGTGGATCAGTTGTTAGGTGTTAGATGTTACCTGAAACAGCTTTTTCAAAACAATCAGTCCATTTATAAGGTCTCCGTGTGCTGCCTCCTCAAAGTCCAAAAATATTTTTTTTAAATGCATTAAAACAATATATTGCCAACACGAGCCTGTACATTCATCAAATATGTATCAAGAGTATCTCTGCGGTTACATGTTTATTGTGCAGGTTTCCCATCGCCTAAATAACACAATGCTTATCCTACACATCAGGTTATGGACACTGCACGCCAAAAACGGTTGGTGGCAAGATATTCTGCATGCTTTACGCCCTGCCTGGAATCCCCCTCTGCATCGTCATGTTCCAAAGCATCGGCGAACGTATGAACACCCTTGTTACGTGCCTACTTCGACGTTTGAAGTCCCTCCTCAAGTGCCAAAATAAGGTCGTCTCCCAGACTCACCTGATCCTTTTCAGTGCCAATGTCGGAACCATCGTGCTCACTGTCGGCGCCGCTGTGTTTGCCCAATACGAACGATGGCACTACCTGGACGCCTTCTACTACTGCTTCATCACCCTGACCACTATCGGCTTCGGTGACTTTGTGGCCCTGCAACGCGAGGACTCCCTGGTAAAGCAACCCGACTACGTGGCCTTCAGCCTCATTTTCATCCTCTTCGGTCTCACTGTGGTCAGCTCCGCGATGAACCTCCTAGTTCTGCGTTTCCTAACCATGAATACAGACGACGAGCGTCGGGATGAACGGGAGGCCGCGGCACAGGCCCAGGAATTTCGTCGTCTTCACGGGGATGTTATTCACTCCGTCATTGGAATGACGGGCCACATAATTCAGGCTGGGGAGGAAGTGAAAATGCAGCCGCAGGCGCAAAATCATCCAACGGGGTCAGAAAAACTGAGGAAATTCCTGCAGACCTCCTCTCCCATCTATCACGATACGTCCGGAACTTTCCTTCAGCCCAACGAAGAAACCACTACCGCATCCTCCCTCCTAACTCGCGTTGGCAGATGCCTTCAGTGCATGTTTAAATGCCTGGGCAGACAGGGCCGACTGCGCCGAAACGGAGGCAGACGCAGCACGGAACTGGAGACAAAGATCGCGAGGGAAAAACCCATGGAGGCGGAGGAGGAGCGAGTAACATTCAGTCTCTCCTTCTCCGAATTCACAAATGGCGACACTGATGAGTACTCGCCCTGGGTAAGTCGAAACGGCGATCAGAAAAATAGGCCGACCAGACGTTCGTCACAGGAGAATCTGTTGTATGGACTCACCGGTGGTGAATCCTCCCCTCCGGCCCTGCGAGAGGCTGAGTCTACCTGGATGAGGAATCTTTTTTCCGCTAAGGCGGGAGAAATATCTTGCAACCGACTAGATAAAGCCTGCCACGAGGAGGCTAGTATGCATGTCAAATGTCCCACTGCCCCTCGCTACCTGCAATACTTCCCCTTCCGTCACGTGGAACCAGCCTGCATCATTGAGGGATGCAATCTTGAACGAAGAAAGCACTGCTACTGTCAGAGTCAGAATTCAAGCGGTGAAGAGATTGTCCAGGAGACTGTCTGTCCCGATTCTACGACATTCTATAGCTGTCAGACAGAAAAGGCCGTCCAGCATCAGCACATGAATCCAGTCCTAGCGGCTTCTGTGCTTCCGACTCTTCTTTCCCATAATCCAGCCGGATTTGTGACGTCAGTTCATCAGACTGCCGCGGCGCGGTCCGGTTTTCAGAACCGCACGACTGCGCTACACTACGGCTACTCTGCTACGATTCCGGTGGGTTCCCTCACGCAGTTAATAATCTTCCGGACTAGGAGTTTGCCAAATATTCCATCTCTGTCTGATTTCCCTTACGCTGTACATAGTGACGTGCGAAAAGAATTTGGACTCGAACATCAGTATGATAAGTTCTGTAATTTATCAACTTATTCTTTGTGAAGTAAATTTTTTACAAAAAAGGTTTTTTTCGGTGTCGGGTTGGGACAGAGGCACAATGCATAGGTTTTAACTTTACCTTATTTTAAAAGAAGGATATGGAAAAAAGGCTTATGTGTAAAGTACGATTACAAATTTTGGGGAAAAAGGTCCAAAAATAAAGGCGGCCGAAATATCAATGATTATGTTTTGCTTGATAACTAAGTACGCAGCGGTAAACATTAAGTCCCAATGATTTCTTAGAAGCATGATTTTAATAAATGTGGACTAAAGTTAGGTATCTTGTTTTCAATTCAAAAAAGATTGTTTAACTTGCATGGAAATATTGCTTCCCTTCCTATATATTCCGGCGATATTTCTGGAATGACAGGACTGGAATGAGAGGACTTCTTTAACAATATCTGCGGACACTGCACTCGGTAAAAATTGACTTATATAGTATTCTCACTTTTCCTATCAATTTCCGATGTATTCGCAAATTCAGATTTAGTCCATGTAAAGCATGGGCAGAAATCTAATTCATTATACATATGTTTGAGTAAATAAGGCTTTTTTCAAGAACATTTTTCAGTAAATTTTTGATATTTGATTCCCAGGTCGTCGTCAGACTTGAGAAACTGTGCACAGTTTTTGAATGAACTTACTGAATAAAGTTTCGTCATTTTTCCAAAGGGCGCCTTTCCTTAAAATTACATTTCCAGTTTATAAGAAAAAATTACGCTTGCTTTAAATTGTATAGTTAAATGAAAACTATGTTTTGCCAGAAACAAGGAATCCTCCAATATCTTTAAATCCGACTAACCGTTTGACTTGCATGATATAAACATTCTTATGATCTTAATCATCATTTTCCATCCTATTAGGAACAAATCATGTATTACTGATAAAAACTTGCAATAAATGTTAACTGTTTCGTAAAATTAATTAGTAGTATGTATCCACGGGCAGACAAGCTGGTACAAAAGTGGATATTTAACGAAATAAAAACATTGAAACAATGTTTTCAGTTATAGAATATGAAGATACTTTTATGCTCTACGAAAAGGTACAATCAGGAAAATGTCAGCCTTGACTCTATAGATGTATTTCTGAGACTCTAAAAACATTACTGCTCAACAGAAACACGGTATACTATCTAAGTAGTCACTTTTACGGAGTATAGTTTCCAGAAGCAACTAGAAACAGGCTCATTTAAAAGCCGTCTTGGTGATGAGACCGATATCCCTGAGGATAATTTTAAAAATAGATACTATAACAACCCTTCTTCATTGATCTATTCGAATCGGAATGGCACAAACAATTTCAAGAGATAGTTCATTTCCCGTTTACTCCGGACGCAATGAGATATGGGGCGCAAATCCGTCGCTGCAATTCATAGATAAAGATAATTAAGGAATATTGCATCAAGGATGTGTCTTAAAATGAGCATATCCTTCTAAAGGAAACCGTTGTAATAAGAGAATTAACAGAGGGAGACTGTAGGACAATTAGCGGCTGACCGGTCCTGTTCTTGAATGTACTAAGCAGGTTTGAACATTTCATTTGAAAAAAGTACGTTATCCTTAAGGAGAACATGCTTTTGGAGGACAGATAAGAAGCCAAGTAATGGAAGGTTGAAAGTCCATTTAAAAGACTGTCAACGTATTCAGGCATGAAAGGTGTCAGCAGTCGAAATGTACGAGACCTCAGAGGGACAGGAATAAACTCAGACTTCACAAACTCGGGAGGAATCTCATTTTAAGAGGGTAACAAGCAACTTTATCATCAATGTACTTAGCAAAAATGTACCTAGTAGATTATCCCAGATAATATGTGTGACATTAAAATAGACAGGGTGAGGCAAAACGCTCCGCAGTTAGTAGGGAACGGAGGAGATCGGGCAAACTGCGAAGGAAACGTATAGCAATCTACAAGCAAGAAAACAACCTATTAAGGGAGAGTTATATTGCTCGAGTTTTTGGCTGCGCAAAACAGTATTCAAGGCTAAAAAATAATAATTAAAGGCACAGTCGTGTGCTCGGTCGCCCTTGTCTAGGTTTCTTAGAGCAGAGTGTGTTTTTTCTAGCA